TGCAAGGGTTCACTTACTTTTTCCACCAATACTGTGAATGTGTAACTTGTGTATACAATAAAGTCATGAAAGATTACAACTGTTTGGGTGTTTTGGCTTTAGCACATTGTGTTTGTCTATATTTGTGACTTGGATGAAGAACAGATTTCATTTTGTGACCAATTAGTACAGAAAACTAGGTAATTCCAATAGGTTTAGATACTTTTTCTTGCCACTGTACATCTTTCAGTGTTAATTGTGCCCTTACAGATGTGCAAGTTACCCATGCAATGGGCACTAATACACCCCCATATCACAATAAACCTTATTCTGGTGACAATTTGAATGGACCCTTTCTTTTAAAATCCTTGCAATTACTCATGAGGAAAGTTGTTTTTAAACTGTTGGATTATTCGCTTATGCATATTTTGGCAAAGTGGCAACCTCAACTGATCCTTGCTCACAAAGGACTAGGCATTTCCTAGATGCTCATTTTATACCCAAGCGTGAAAGTATTACTTCTTTAGGATGTCTTTAAGATTTCAGAACATTCTTAGTCTTGAATGCCCATCTTAACTTTTTTGGAACATGTCGCAGGCAACAGTTTCAGAATGAGCATATATTTACATTAAAAGAAAAAGCTGATAAGGTGAAAGAAAAAATGTCTTTGTTTTCTTACAGGCAATGTAGTTTTCTGTTTTTACTTGCATTTCATATAATGTCCCTATATTTTTCTATACAAATTTGTATATATCTATACAAAAAACTTAGTACATTAGAATACTACAGGCATTTATCACCAAAGTCTATGTGATACTTCAGTAATACGGCAGTGAAGATGTACTTTTGATGGTTAGGGTCTTAGTTGTGCTTTGTAGATACGGCTACAGCAAAACAAAATGGCGTTTACCACAGGTTTAGGTAAGACATTTGTAAACTTCTGTGGAATAAATCCATAGATTTCACAGACTCTGATGGAATAATCTGGATCATTTTTACATTGTTCAAGAGACTGTAGCCTGAAAGAATTATGTCATTAACTCTTCATGTTTTTCAATACTGACTGTAGCCCATCTGTTGGTGCAGAAAGCTCCCCTCTGCCCATCAAAGCAAAGGGACCACCACAGGACAACTGCTGAGCAGATATTATTTGGATCGTGGATCATTCTCAGCATGACACCAACATGGTAGTGGCATTTTTCAAACATTGCGCACACTTAAGCTACTCCATTAGACACACCTACCTTGTGGTCCACCTTTTAGGTGTTCAGTTAAAGACTATAGTTCATTTGTGTTAGCCACTCTCTAGAATTTCATTAGTGGTCAGTTTCTGACCACAGTTGGCTGGATGTTTTTGAGTAGACCACTTGCGCCAAACATACTACCATGTCACTACCATGCTGCTGTTACTGCTGAGAATGGTTCACCACTCAAACAACACCTGGTAGTTTAAGATCTAGCAAGAGATAGACTACAGTTAGCAACTGTAAAAGTAGAAAGAGCAATTAGATTATATGTACCTCTTACATGTCCCTCTTAAATATCGCACAAATGGAAAATGGGTTAGTCCTTGCTCATTAAAACAGCCATTTATGTCCTGGACTCAGTTCTCACAGTTGAGGAAAATATTTCTCAGTTATTGTTTGCTGTTTGGTCTTTTTTTTTTTTGCCTAGCAGGCCTCCTTGTCTCTTTGTTAATAAGCAAGGCAACTAAAAGTTGGCTTTTGTTGGCTGTATTGACCTGAGGCCTCTTCCTGCATCCACACTGGCTAAACAAATCCTTGTCAGTAAATTATATAGGTCAGAGAATTGTCGATCTCACAGAAATATAATATCTCCCCCTACTGGTCAGACTGCAGAAGACCTGGCCGAAGTATGCATGGATTTTCTTTCAGCAGAATGCAGTGAGTAAATGGCTTCCAGGCTATAAAAACAGAGGCAGTTTTGAAATTTAAATTCTGTCATGCCATTGCAACATTAGCGGTGACAACAGAAGAACCCTATTTTGCAGCTCACAAGTGAGATTATCTGTGTGAATGCTTTCAATTTCAACCTTTAGAAAAATACAAGTTAGGACAGTTAGCCCAATGCAGGGCCTACAGTGGCTTAAACATTAAAAAGATAATGTCTCTAATTATTAAGTTAACATTAAGATGTCTGCACCTGTAGAACGTGAAAAAATGTGTCATTTTATGGCTACATTAAAGGGACAAATGTTTTTTTTTTTATAAATTTCTGCATAATTCAATCCTTGAGATTAAAATTATTCAAAGTGTTTTGATGTGAAACGGTTCACTAGCAGATAAATTTTCTGACTCATATGTCTTTACAGTGGTGATGAACCCAGGTCATGACGTCTACAACACAAATATAGCCATTTTATTAATATTAATGTAATGTTGATAATGAAAAATGAAGTGGGTGCAATTTTGTTTAACAGTTTAATTATATCAATTTAAAAAGAACGAAATTAGTTAGTGGTCTTGTGCAACTGTGCAGAATTTATTAAAATGTATTATTTATTAAATTTATTAAAATTTAAAATTGATTAAAACATACTTTTGGCAAAACACTGTATAGTGACTATAAAATCACTGCCCTGTTCTTCAGTGGTCAGGACCCCCATGGACCCTCACAGACTATTTGGGTGGTAGATCATTCTCAGCTGTGTCCACTCACTGTCCACTCTATTTGATGCACCTGCGTTGTTGGTCCACCCTGTAGATGTAAAGCCAGAGAAGATAGCTCATCTTATGCTGTACAGTATGAGCTAATCATCCTCTAGTCCTTCATTGGTGGTCACAGGACGCTGTTGACAGGATATTTTTGGTTGGTGGACTATTCTCAGTCCAGCAGTGACACTGAGGTGTTTAAAAACTCCCGCAGCACTGCTGTGGCTGATCCACTCAGACTAGCGCAACACACATTAACACACCACCACCACATCAGTGTTACTGCAGTGCTGAGAATGATCCATCACCCAAATAATACCTACTCTGTGAGGGTCCATGGGAGTCCTGACCACTAAGCGTAGAAACAAGGAAGTGGTCATCATGTTATGCCTGATCGGTGTATATATATATATATATATATATATACATACATATAATATATATAAAATACAAAATTTATATACGTTTATATACATCACAGGAGCCAGGATACTGAATGCCAAGAGAAATGCAGATTATGGCAGCAGTACACAACCCAAAAAAGTCAGAAAAAACATCCCAGTAGGTAGAATACTTTCTTCAGCATGAAGTTCAGCACAGACCAGACCTAAAACTGCACCATGATTTACTCAGACATATTAATGGTAAAACATGTCAGACTAGTTGGCCTTCATCAGGGCAGAAACAGCTCAATAAACAGTGGAGCATTTTGAACTTTATACTGTTTATGGAAGCAGTTTTTGGACACACAACTGAAGTGTATCATAGTTTCTCAGGTTAGGTTTGTTGAGTAAGTTAAAGATTTAAAGCCACTAATTCATTCAGAGGCAACATTTCTAAACATTGGCTTCCCTAGGAAGTGCTCTTATTGACCAACAAACTAAAGTTTAATAGTATGACCCTACATATATATGTATATATATATTACACAAACAATTGATTTTACTTTTTGGTCCACCCTTTGCCTTTATTGGAGCTTCCAAACTTTTCAGGAGGCTTGCTTTTAGTTTTTCCAAAAAAAAAAAAACAACCCTAAAAAACTTAAAAACACTGAGGATATTCAGTCTTAGAAGTGTGATGCATTTTCTGCCTCTTACAATCCACATAATCTCAAACACATTCAGTGATGTTGAGATGTCCTGTGTACCAGTAGCTTTTTTGCTTGACAAGTACATCTTGATCTTTCTCAGTATGCTTGGGGTTGTCTTGGCGTAGAATCAATTTCTCCCCAATCAAACGTTTTCCAGATGGTACTGTATGATGTATTGAGCTGATTCCTTCAATCAGAAACAGATCACCAACTCCAAGTGTTATAGATCCCCAAAACTTACACTTTTTCACCAAAAACCTGACTGATCGTTGCAGACATGGTTCGTAATATCTTTTAATTACTGCCAAAGATCTTTGATGGGTGGACAACCAACTTGTTTGGTTTAAGACTGGAAAGATGGAAGAGGTAAAGCGGCAGTAGGGTGCACACAAGTACAGAATGGCCTAATTAAATATTGACAGAGTTGTTGGACGCTTTAATATGTTTCTTGCTTCTGCTTCCGAAAAATAAATAACTTAATGTAAAATAAAGTACTTAATGGCCATTTTGACTTTTGTACAGTACTGCACATTTATCCCAACAATTTGTTAAATAAGGAATATGCTACTTTTTTACAATACTTTTTTGCACCTAGTCCATAAATCCATGCAGTTAAAAAAAATTATCTGAGGTTTCCCATTTTTTTAAATTTAAGTGCAATGTTCAGAGTTTATTAAAAAAAAAAAATATGCGATTTTTTAGACTCAAAGACAACAACGGGGAAAGTATTTGGAGCTGAATATTTTTGCTGTTCATGTTCCACATGAAAACAAGACAAATTCACATAGTATACTTGTGGTCTCTACTTTAGAATATGCTGATCTTGTTACAAATGCAGCCCTGATAATGAAATAATATGTACTGTGTGGCTGTAATGTGCATTATTGTATGTAACATAAGTACCAGATCTGAAATAAGGCTCTGTGGGGCAATTAAAATAATTTGCGATTCAGGACAAAATTCAAAGCTATATTGGTTATGGCCAACCTATTGTATTGTGTCCAACCTCATCTACAAAGGGCCCGTGTGGCTGCAAGTTTTCATTCTAACAAAACTGGAGCACACATGAACAACTGTTTGAAGATTGAGACCAACTGATTAAGCAAGTGGAATCAGGTGTGCTCCAGCTTGTTTGGAACGAAAACCTGCAATCACACCGGTCCTTTGTGGATTAGATTGGACACTTGTGTAACATAACACTGAAGCAACAGATAAATCTGTTCACTGCTGTTTTGGTGTGGCATAAAAACAGTTCTGACCAGGGTGAAGTTAGATTGTATTGTATGGCATTGTAAAATGAAACAGTGCTTACTGTTCATCTTTTTTAATTACAGTCATTTTCATTAATTCCACTCCTGCATTAATTCCACATTCTGCATTCATATCATTTGGAACTGTTATTGCTATCACTGTAATTATTACCAATGTAAAGACCAGCTATTTTAATAAATCAGTAGAATGCAGTTACATTTGTTAAGTCAAAAACACCAACTGAAGCAATGAAGTGGCACTCAAAAAAAAAAATAATAAAAAATAAAAAACTAAAAAGAAATCATACAATATTAAAAATAGCAATAAAAAACACCTAACTGCTGAACACCCACTCCCAAAAATGAAAAGGAAAGAAATCGTTCAATACTCATTATTAATACGCCAAAATCTAAAAAAAAGACAGTAGGAAAAGAAAAGGAATAATAAAAATTCAGTTCATTCTAAGGCCTGCAGAGGGCAGGAAGGAGGTAAGAAACACTTGGAGTTCCAGTTGTGTCAACGCAGACAAACACAAAAGGAGGAACAGAAGGACTGATCAGATGACCATTTTCTTCTTCTTTAAACTGCAGACAGAGTTAAAGTTGGGGCTTTGCGCTGAAAAAATAGGAATCAAACTATTCTGGTGGTTGTGGGTTGAGTTAGTTATGGCAAACATGTGGATCCAAAAAAAAAAAAAAGTTTAAAAAACTGCCAGACATCTCTTCAAGTCTATTTAAGGCATTCAATGTTTGAATGCAGAAAGACTGATCTTTAGTTAGGACGAGAGATGTATAGCATATTACCACACAAACCACTCTACTAATTCAGTAAAACTAAAGGCACTGACTGAATGCCTCAGATTTCTCGCACTCAGATCAACCTGTTCCCAAATTCCATGGTTCTTTCTTTTTCTCCATTCTCTCCTCTATAAGAGAATGCAGCGTTTCTTGGGTTTGGTCTCAGGAGGCTCCAGCGCAGCTAGAATGGCCTCATCAAACACGTTCTTTAAACCTCTCTGCAGGGAGAAAACGGAGACAGGTAAGAGACATGCTGTCATAAGATTTAAAAAAAAGAGAAGAGATCACCACACCGTCACCATAACAAAAAAACAACAACTACGTATGAGTGTACTGCGATCTTTCTTCTAGTTAACATAGCATTAGTGTCAACATGCATGTTATCTACAAGCCTTTTCCATAAACTGGTAAAACCTGATTTCCATGAATGGTCATATTACAAGTTGCTACAGTGTCAGGGTGGTGCTTGTTTGGTGCTGAATACTGTCCTATATGATGCACTTCACATTTCAAATATACATCATGTAGGACGCAATTATTTAAGCTGACCAGTTATTTTTCCCCAGCTGTTAGCATTTACAATCATGTTTACATTATAACAGAATGTGAATTGAGTGCTTTTTTTTGGGCTTACTAAAAAATACACGGTATGGCCAAAAGTATGTGGACACCTGACCATCACACCTATAGGAGTTTGTTGCACAACGCTTTCCAAAACCATGGGCATTAATATGTATTTGGCATCCCCCTTTGCTGCTACAACAGCCTCCACTTTTGCAGGAAGGCTTTCCACAAAATTCTGGAGTGTGTCTGTGGAAATTTGTGCCCATTCAGTCAAAAGAGCAGAAGCTGAGAAAGCCTGGCTCACGATCAGTGTTCCGATTCATCCCAAAAGTGTTCAATGGGTTGTGGTCAGGGCTCTGTGCAGGCCACTGGAGTTCCTCCACAAATCGTCAAACCACTCGCTTTGTGCACAGGAGCAGTCATGCTGGAACAGGAAAATGCCTTCCCCAAATTTCTGCCACGAAGTTGGAAGTATATAATTGTCTAAATAAATCTTTGTATGCTGCAACATTAACATTACCCTTCCCCCAGAACTAAGGGGCCAAACACAAACCCTTTAAAGAGCTTTGGACCATTATCCCTCCTCCACCAAACTTTACTGTTGGCATTCTCCTGTCATCCATCAAATCCAGATTCATCCATCACACTGCCAGACAGAAAAGTGTGTTCCATTATTTCAAAAGACACGTTTCGATTGCTCCAGAGTCCAATGATGGTGCACTTTACATCAGTCTAGCTGACACTTAGCATTGCGCATAGTGATCTTAGGCTTGTGTGCAGCTGCTTGGCCATTAAAACCCAGTTTATGAAACTCCTCACGCACAGTTATTGTGCTTACATTGCTTCTGGAAGCAGTCTGAAACTCCGTAATGTGTGATGCAACAGTGGATAGGTGCCCCTTTGTGGGTTTGCATGGTCTTCTGTTTTGTGGCTGAGTTCTTGTTGCACCTAGATGCTTCCATTTCACAATAATAGCCCTTATAGTTGATTGAGGCAGATCTAGCAGGGCAGAAATTTCATTAACTGACTAGTGGCAAAGGTGGCATACTATGACAGCATCATGTTTGAAGTCACTGAGCTCTTCAGAACAACCAATTCTACTGTCAATGTTTGTCTATGGAGACTGCATAGCTTTGTGGTTGATTTCATACACCAGTTAGCAATAGGTGCTGTTAAAAACACTTGAACTCAATAATTAGGAGTGGTGTCCACATAGTTTTGGTCATATAATATATATGTAAATAAAATAGAGCAGAAAAAGTGTTTATTTAATCAGGCTCAGAAGGGAGTAAAGTATGTTTGAATTCAAGCACGGTCTGTCAGCTACTGGAGAGCCAACCAGCCAATTTGCCCATTTTGGCTTGTACTTAAACAGTTGCATACAAAAAAGGCCAATTAAACTGTTAATTGTTTTTTTACAGAACAATTAATCATCAACTAAAATTTCATGATCACAACACACACACTTTTCAATCTTTTAAACTCGCATATAAACTCAGAACTACTGTATATTCCCAGCCTGATTATGATGATGCCATTTGTTGAATTGGGAGAGTTGGTTGAATATCTTAAAAAAAAAATTTACATTCTTTTTATGGCTGAAATGAACAAAACTGATTTTTTAAGAATCAGACAGTTCCACAACCATAATAATACATGTTCATGACTGGTGATGGAATTATTGCAGTAGGCTACGCTTTCTAGTTTGCTTTTGCTCTAGATACCTTAGACACAAGAGGGTGAGACCATTCAAACACTAATGCGTGGTTTTGATAAGCAACATCAGCTTAGTAATTTGGGAGAATAAAGCTTATGCAAGTTTGAGCCAATGTTTCTCAGAGGGCTTCATTTGTGAGATTATGAGATACATATTGTGTGCCCACCAATACTGAAATAATTAGAAAGTGATCAACAGTTCCCTTTGCTCTGCTTCTCATATAAACATTTGAAGGATGAACGTGAAATGATATTTTGGAAAGATAAAAACCAGAGCAGGTGGTACCTGTGTGAGGGCGGAGCATTCAACATATTTGACGGCTCTTAGGTCTCTGGACAGCTTTTCTCCACTCTCGGGAGACAGGGGACGCTGTTTGTTCTTGGCAAGCTTTTCCACTGTGTTACTGTCATCTCTCAAGTCGACCTGAGTACCCACTAGCAGGAACGGAGTCCTGGGACAGTGGTGAGAGATCTCCGGTACCCACTGGAGACAGAGAGAAAAAGTAGAAAAAACAAAACTAACCAAACATCATCATAAAAAAAGATCAGCATAAAGGCAAAAGAGTTAGCAAAAGAGTATAATAAGAAGAAGAAACAGGGGAGATGTAAATAAGGGCAAGGGGAACATCATATAACTGAACTTATTTAAACATCATTTATTTTAAAAGTGTCAGCCAAAACACTTCAGCTATCAGGTGGTGTAAATCTTTTTTGTCGCTACAACCCCAGTGTCCTTCCTCTGGGGTACTGCACAAAAATATCACCTCAATAACAACAGTCTTTGTGCAAGAAGGCCTGCTTAGAACTTGAGTACTTAAGATGACCTTGAACTAGAGATTAGAGACTTGTTTAAGAGCAAGAGGTGTATACATAGCTGGTACAACATCTCCCTCTGTATTAAAAAATACACCCTGGAGACTGTAAAATATTCCCAGTGCAAGAACAGCTGCTGACAAAATTCATACCAAAAATCAAACGCTCACCGTAAACACACAAACTCTTAATGATAATAGCTGGGCCATATTAAATCGTATCGAACAAGTCATATCAAATTACCTAATAGAGGTGATCGAAAATAATTCAAATTGTAAAGTAGCAGTTTGTAATTTAAAGTCAACCAACAAAAACATAAAAACACAAAACATCTCATTCACACATTACACAGGGACTGACCTTTTCTCTGACATTCTCAAAGGAGGAAGGTGAGACAACAGAGAAGCACACAAGGAACACGTCAGTCTGAGGGTAACTGAGTGGCCGCAGTCTGTCATAATCTTCCTGACCTAGATAGGGAAATCATGAGAAGACAAATCAGTTCATAAAACATGTCAAGATGGCAAAACCTTTTTTGTCCTTTTTTTTACATCACATTTTCCCCTCCTCCTGAAGAGGGACCATAACTAATTACTGACAATCTACAGACAGTTTAAGCTGGTGGTGGTGGTCAGTTTTGCGGGTTACCTGCTAATAACTTTCAAGCCAAATCAAGCAATTTCATAATTATCATATAACCAGCACAATATGAATCTCTGTTTTTCTTGTGTCCTTTTTGCATAGAAGCTTTCCACCAAGTAAGGGGAAAGAAAAAAATCTTGGTTTGTTCATAACGTTTCCTCTCTGTTTCTGGCAGCACTACATCCATATTTTACCCGTTTATGTCAAAAATCTGGCTTTTCATGTCAAAACGAATTGTTTTTCTTGATGTTTTGACTTAAGTTGAAATAATTAAATGCCAAAATTACTTTTTCTTAAGTGAAGTCAAAATACTGAGGAAAATATAAGTACTAAGTAATTATTTCATCATAGTAATTCCAAATTTTGAGAGGTAAAACAGAAATAAAATTTCCACAAACTTCACTGGCATTGAATAGCACATATCAAGTGAGCATTTACTATCAGCCTTGGTGAATCCAAATTTTACTAATCTCGAATAGGGTTGTATGATAAATCGTATTTTTACTGTCATCACGATATGCGACAGATCAAATTACTTCACGCATGCAACACCAAAGAGATGTCCTATCTTTGCCGGCCAAGTCCATCAGAAGCCTAACGAGTGCTTCTCTGGGCTGGGATTAATGCCTGCTCTCCCACGTGTGAGACAAGTAACTTAACCATGAGGCTAAATGGCCAATCACAAAAACCCACAAAGCAGAGCTCAAAAACCCCTCCATCCTGAACTACACGCATGTAAAAATGCATCAAACTCTAGGATTGTTCTCACACCCATTACTGTGCTTTAAGCGTGCAAGGCAGTAATGGCCATGGTCAAAACAAACATATTCAGGAACTTTTTATAAAACGTCCTTGGGTTCGAGAAAGGCGCTATATAAATTGAAATTATTATTATTATTATTATTATTATTATTATTACTACTACTATTATTATTGTTGTTATTATTGTCATAGTTAACTAAACAAAACTAAAATGAAACAAAAATATGCATTTGTGAAATGTGAAAAACAAAAAAACAAAAAAAAACCCTCTATTTTGTTTCTTATAGCCTTTATAGAAAAAGCTGTTGAGGTAATGCTGTTTCTCAGCCTTTCAGTCCACAGTCTGATGTAGCTGTTAGTACTCTTTTTTTTTTATTTTGCACAACAGTGAATGGTGTTTTTGTAATTTTGTATTTTGCTATTTGCTTAAAAGTGATTTTTGTTTACATATCCCAAAAAAGTCTGTTTTTGTGTCACATCTATTCATTTAGCGTTTCTCATACATGATATCTGACAGCTTTATTAAACATTGCATTTTATTTAAATTTCATATAGCCCTAATCTCGAATATCAAATTGGTCAGAATACACGTGCCCAGACAATATACCAAATATAAAAACATTCTTCAAAGCAACTCACATCTATATCACAGTAGCTTAGCAGGCAACATACCCTTGCATTGCACAAGTAATATGTTATGTTTCCCTTAAAAAGATCAAAGAACACCTGTCCATGGACTAAATTCTAAGACCACATAGTTTCACAGTTTGCAAAATGTGATTTCAGACATACTAATACTTTTTAAGGATCCATGGCCACCCTGAAAATATGTGAAATCTTCCACCTATGGAAGTGACCTATGGAACAATGTGCTTGAAAGAGCAACAGCAAATCTTGATCTATGTGCTCATTTGGCTAGCATCTCTCTATATCAGCACAGTCCAATGACAAAACATTTACACTGTGGTAGTCAGTAGCTGGGTGAGCTTCTCAAGAGCCCCACAAAGCATAATTCAACAACCACACTCTGACCGATTGCTCTATCAAAATAACAGGAAAGGCTTCATCTTTCTATACAAGCACAGCCAGATGTTCAAAGAGAGACAGAGCAGCAAAACAGAGTGGTGAGACCTGCCCATTTCCTCTACCAATGTTAGGGTGGGGGGGATAATCATTCTTTGCTCTGTCAGAGAGCTGTAGCTTTTATTAAAGTTATATCAAATGCCAAAAGCCCAGTGGTTGTGAACAGGCTCATTCCAGATTCCAGCAAAAGCCTTTTCAGCACTAAATATAACTGCTGGCAATTACACCACAAATGTTAATTAGTAATCTGATATCGTCAATCAAAATTTATCAATATGGCATTTACTTCATCTAAACTTGCATGTACGGATATTAGATATTAGAATAGAGACATTTTCTCATTAGAGAACCTTCAAAATGTGTAACAATTTAGTGTCATGTTTTACATTTTAGACATAGTATTTCTTTAAATATGTCATACCCTGACAAGTTAAATGCTTAATGCCAACAACTTTTTAAGTGTAAAAGTCGGTTAGGTATTAATCGTTAAGCTGATTTACTGTACCTGCTGTGTCAAAAAGGCCAAGTGTGTATGGTTCTCCTCCAATCATCACAGTGACAGCATAATTATCAAATACCTGCGAAAGTGAGAAACAAAGAGAGAAAAAGAAAAATATGACATGGTGTCATGGCTATGCAAAAATATGACAATGAGGTGAAACCATAAATGGTTTCACTGTTCCTGTCTGCACTCTCATCTCTTTTATTCTTCTTTCCTTTTCTCTTTCTCTATCCATTCAGCATCTCCATTCATAGTAGAACTGGTTTCTCCTCATACCACGTTTAGTCCAATCAGTCAAAGAGATTCCATTTACTGGCACTTATGTAGGCATTTCCCCCACCATACGGATGCTAGTCCTAACTTTACACTTTGTATTACATTAAAATGATCTTGCCATCTTGTAAATTAACTTGCCATTAATGGTTTCTGTTCACATCTAAATGTGAAAGCTGAATGTGTGGTTCATATATTCACACCAGGGCTAAAAGGAACCAAAGAATATAACCTTTTTGATTTTTTTAGTGTCTGTAAACTCTGTTTTAACGTGAAATGGCCTTATGCTCCTTCTGGAGCAAAGGGAAGCTGTCCTAGATACACTGTAATACATATTCATTGTTTTTTTTTTTTTTAAATGACAATATCAATATTTCCTGATAATATTGTCCAGATTTATTGCTTATTGTCCCAGCCGTACACATTTCAGTATCATCTTCCTATTTTCCCTGCTCTAACAAAGCATTTCAGTTCAAGAAAGGATTGTTAATAATCTGATTAGCAGGACCAGTTGTTTTGGGAGTAGCAAAAAAAGCTGCATGCAAGGCGGGGGATCCCTCAGGATCATGCTTGACAACCAGGAGGCCTGTATTTTCACAATCAGTTAAGCAATGCAGTTATAATTACATAAACCAAAAACCTCGAATTATGGTTGTCCTCATCACCAGAGCAGTCTCTTTTAATAATTCAAAAGATACTATAATTTGGATCCCGTAACACCCACTAGCACTGTGTATATGCAGCACTACCAAAATTAAAGGGACCTGTATAATACAGTACAACCAGCCTTTGTAGATCCACCTTAGAGACAAATAGCTACGTTAATGTATTGCAGAAAGCTCTCCACCACTTCCTGAAACCATGAAGGTAACACAATCATTCTTTAGTTTACTGACTGAACTGAACTAATGCTGCACTCTTTTTCACTGCAGTATCATGTCAGTCTTCCAATTTTACAAGACACAAATTATTCAAGAATTTTCAGTTGCACTGCAATGACACATTCTGACAATCATCCTATACGGCACCTCACAACTATTCCTCTCTCAAAGTCTGCTCATTATTATCCAGTCGTAATGTGGACTGCATTGACCTTTTTAAAGCTGCACTAATTTTCAGCAAAGATCTGCAATTATACAAGTTTTGCAAGCCTTTTGGGGGAGTTTACTGCACTGCAAAAACATTTATTACATTTCTACACTCCAACTGCTTCACGGTCTAAACCTCTGTTATTAAAGTAAAATGGCTGCCCGCTGCTGAGCTGCTCTCAGTTCACTTCTAGGGAGATGCTTAATGTGCTGAATGCAGGACAGACAAACTCCTCCCATGTCTCTACAGTCATACTGCAGAGCATCAGTCACGGTTCCTCAAATGTACAATTGTGTTTTATGTCAGCAGGGTTAGTTCTCTTCTTTTCTCCATCTTTAGAAAGCACTGACAACAAATGTCATTACCTACATTAACTCTGTGTTGTAGACAACAGTATGTTCAAAGTCATGTCAAGCAGACATTTTACTTTAATGTGGGATTTAATCTAACAGATTTAATCTAATGTAGTCAGTTTTGCTCAACTTTCTTGTTCATTGTCAATGCACCAGCATTGGGCTGCCTTTCATACCAGAAGAATACATTTAACTATATATGTCTGCAGTATTAAATGCATAAATCATCACCCCAATTGTAATGGTGACTTCACCTGTATTACTCTGTAAAGGGAAATTCCACCGATTGTGCAAAGTTTTCGCATAATTAAATTGTTTCACTGTTTGATGTGAAACCATCTGAAGTGTTAAAAGCCTTTCAAAGCTACATCACAAAAAGATAATTCATTAAATAATTGTGTGAATAAACATGTAGGTTCACTGTTTTCACTATTTTGGAGGGTGAATAAAACAATTAATACTTGACATCAAACAAACTAGGCCATGTCAACAGTCTACTGTATTGATCTAAACATGAGTTTGTGCTTATGGAGCATGTCTACACAACTACTTGGTAATCATAAACATATAACTGTCAGCTCCTCAGTTTTTATCCTAACAATTTAATTATGCTGTGATTTTTTAAAAATCAGTATATTTCCCCCTTGAGTGAGAGTATTCCATTAGAAACTGGACTTGAGACTTTTATTCCAATCAGCGAAATGCAATCTGGCAATTTTCTAAGCAATCCAGTAAAGTAAACTTTAACACATGTAAAACCTCTCCAAAACTCTTATGAAAATCTCAGCTTGCCCATTATTATATAGCTTCATCTAATGAAGAAAATGAATAAGCCCATTTCCACTGATCTGATATTTGACATTAAACAAACTAAGCGACAACAACACTCCACTGTATTAATCTGAACAAAGGTTTGTGCTTCTGGAGCATGTCTACATAACCACTTGGTTTGTCAGACAAACGATAATTAATCTGCCTCAGAACTGCTCCTTTGAGACCTGTTTCTCAGGTACTGTGTAGGGCTTTATGAACTATCATGTCTGCACTCTAATCGAAAGCCTTTTCTAATAGTATGTTTACAACTAAAGACGGGCACAGCAATGCAATTCCACAAGGGTTCTGAAAACTAATGGCTTTAACTAGGGATATTAATGATTAATTGATTAACTGTTAAACAACCAAAGAACAACCAGTTTCTATCATTCAACTAGAGGAACAACCGTCTATTAAAAATAAAATGCATCACGAAATTGTTTCATTTTTATAATAAAATATAATATAAAATTATATAAAATAATATAATATAGTGAACAATTATAATTGTCAGGCCCTCAGTTTAAATAAAAGTGGGTTTTAGGCCATTTACTTCATTTAAATATTTAAGCTCTGGTCCTACCCATCAGTGCTAGGTTCCACAGTCTATGGCAGGAGTGCTTTTTAATATCTTGGTGCATTAATACAGAATTCAGCTGATGTGAGTGTTTATAAGCGTGTGTATATCCAATGTTTGACAGTGGTTTTCAACATGGCTAAACTATAGAAGCAGAACTATCCGTTTTTGTAATTAATATTGTGATGGGTCGCGTCTTTGAATTTAGGCTTGCCAGTTAACAATTATTTAGTGACTAATGACAGTCTATTACTGGTCTAAAGAATTCGCCAAAGTTTCCATCCCTAGTTTAAATAAAAAAAATGAATAGCCTACAGATTTAGAGCATGGGTGTCCAGCAGAGTTTGGTGATTGACCTGCTCAAACACCTGATTAGATTTACCTGTTAATTGCCAGGTGTAGTGGGTGTGTTCAAGAAAGGAAACCTCCAAACTGTGCTGGACACAGATCCTCCTGGACTGGAGTTGTGCACCCCTGATTTAGAGTATAAAGTCGATGATCAAAAAAACATTTTTCTTAGCAGCTGCAACTGAAAACTCAACCAGGAGTGGGGAAAGAACTGCGTACTGTCTTCCCTAGGTGGCAAATGGCTTTTCAACTTTCGCACTTGTGAGCCTATGTTTGCAAACACATGCAAACACCCAAAATCACTGAAATGATATTAAAATGCACAAACAATATTGAAGGCTATGGGTGGAGCATGTCTGTGAATTCAGCCAAACTCGTCCTCTACCACCTCGGGATACGGATAACCTTCAGAGACGGGACGCAATTTAATGCCAAGTGTAAACAGAGCCTAAGATTAGTCAACCTGTTCAAAGCACACTAAACGGACACTGCTTTGATTTCTTAGCTCATCTGCTGACAAGTGCTGTTTTAACTAGCCTGGCTGCCAGACCATTTTCACTGCACTTTATTTCAGACTTAACAGTCTGAAAAGGTCTGTACAGTTAGTGTGTTACATAATAAAGAAAGACTCACAGATTTTGTAAATGATTCAGTCCTCTCTTTTTTATATGTTTTCAGTGTCACATTCTTCCAGCTGCTCATCTAAATCCCAAGCCTTGGTATAACAATCCTCTTGACTAAGCATACCAAACATGTAGCAATTTCTCTAAATTAAGTAGATGTACATCTTAAGACAGTAAGAAGACTACAACACAGTGGAGATCCCAATCCATACTGTTCCATTAGATGTAACGTAGGTGTTGCACTTGTTCACATAAACAGAACAATGTGTCACACACACACTATGAACCAGGTACATGTGGAGACTCATCTTTTTGTCATAACAGCTAAAGCCCGTAGTTAAAAACAACACCTTAGGTGTTCCTGTTGCAGCAAAATGATGGATCACTAACTACAACAGTAAGCAAGGTCTAATTTTATAGTTCAATTCCTGTTTGCTAGCCACTGTACTCGGCTCGGCTCCCTTTTCAGCCCTACTTTCCTGTCTTTCACGTCATCACTTCTATTCCTTTCTGGTTTTTCAACCCTGCATGTCACACACTCACCGTAGGCACATATTCTGAAGGGAATTTGTTGGTTGTGTAAGAAATCAGTAAGCAGGTTTTTCCCACTGCTCCGTCTCCCACTACCACGCACTTTATGGTCTGCATCTGGAGAAAGAGAAAGTATGCATGAGGGGAAAAACACACAGTGAAAGAAAAGGGACAGAAAAATAAGTGTTTGTAACCCAAACTCCCAAATGGTTCTTTCATTCTTAACCTTGGTATCCAACAGCAAGCAGTTAGAATGCTAAGCATGGTAATGGCCAAAGCAATAACAATGGTCAGTAAGACGGTCTAAACAGATGTGACAGTGTCTTACAGCGTTTTACAGACCCTGTGACCAGTCAGGCCATTACACCAACGCATACCTAAGAAATCCACTGTACAACGGGGCCTAAGGCTAACCAAACTGCTGACTGTGGGAATCTTGTTGTTTACAAGAGAAACTCTGCGGTGCTCATGGCAAACTGAAATGACACCGACACCTCTAGGTGATTTAGCGAGATTTGTCCTATCACTTGTCATATGTTTCTATATGACTACAGAACTTCCACAACATAAACTTTCACTTCCATATAGTTCAGAAGTAGCCTCAATTTGCATGGGCTGTTAAAGAACACTGCACATTCACCATCAGCGACACATTGAAAGAGATGACAGATACAATACTGATTTTGTATAAAAAGATAATAGCTTAACAACACAGGACCATTTTCCGGTATCTTCTATAAAATGGTCCTCCAAATGTACACCCAAACCTGTTCTGCACTTCCGCATAGCTAGCTTAGCTTTTTCATAGTCAGCCCCCAGTTTCACAAAGAGTTAAAAAAGACAACAAGCATTTACATTTACCGGGTTTAGCTATTCTATTTCTCTTTGGCCATATAAACAAGTACCTTAGCCAGCTAATGTAACTTAGCTAGCGTTAGCGAACAAATAACTACTGAGTTACTTGCGCAAGTTAGCTAGCCAACTCTATTCTCAACACTCATACAAACTTTTCCATCCCAAGCTAAATATTAGATACAAGCAAGTGACAGAAGAGTTTTTTCCCCATTTGTGAAAAGCCAAAGGTGAAAAACGAAAAAGAGTTGTAAAAGAGAACATACGGCGGATATCTCATTTCCTGAGTGCCCCAGCCAGCTAACCTAGCTATCGTTAGACAGACAGGGCTCGGTCATTTTTAAATGTAAACTCCTATCTAATAAGCTGACTTCTGTGTTCATTACCTATGCAGGGTGTAGGTGTTTAACCAGAAAAGCTTGTTCTCATTAACGCTAACTACCAGGGTCCATTATGACTTTTCGAAGTGTTTCAATTTCGCTAGTTAGCTAGCTAGGTTAACTAGCCCTCCTGCTAGCTTGGCTCTCTCTGTCACAGCACATCACCCGGAGCCGAAGTTGTCAGATTCAGCAGTAGCTGGTTAGCATGTTAGCTTGAAAGGAAAGGAAAACAAGTGAGCTAAACTACCTTACTGGCTCCATGAACAAGTACCTTAAACTAAGTAAAACAGTATAGCAACATCATATTTACGTTTTTCTCCCAACAAAGCAATAACAATGTAGTATTAGCTGACTGAAAAGATTCAATCTCAGCTACTCACCTTTCAATATCTGTGGCTGCTGCCGTTGTAGCTTAGCCAACGTCCGGGTGCGGCGGCTGCCGAGAACTTTTGCCGAGTGGGCGTGTGTGTCCCAAACTCCAACCCCCTCAGTACCTTCACAATACAGACAGCCTCAGTCACAAAGACTGCAGAGACTGCACATGCTTTTTGTAGAGATATGACCTCAAAAGACGTTAAACATATTAAAGATATGAACATTAATCAGAGTGAGTAGTGCCAAAAATATGAGAAAACATTTCTTTTACAATTTGCTTTGTTATAGAAGAAGGGGAATTCCACCGAATTTTCAAAAGCTACACATCATTAAATGGTTGATATATAAACAAAGTCATATAGTGTGGTTTGGTGTGAAAAGCTTCGTTCTAGAGAAACTTGCTGAGTCAGAATTGTTCACAGTGGTGGTGATAGGGACCAGACGTCTGAGGAGTTAAAGGCCTTTAAAAGCTCCCTCACAGAAAGTCACTGCATTATATGGTTATATGCTGCCTGATGTTTGGGGGTAAGAATTTGGGCTAAAACATATATTTTTTAAAGCCATTCATGGTGGAGTGGTACATGAAGGACATTGTGAGGCAAAATTGTCCACCAAAGAAAACGTATTTTTCCAGATTTACCACTATTTAACCATAATTAGCATTATATATTAAAAGAATTAGAAGACACATGTAGTTTCAGTGATGGTTTTGGATAGTAAATATAACATCTGAGTCAGTCAGTTTCCAATAAACCATGAGTGACATCTATGGGGACAATATATATTCTCAAACAATAATCTGCAGTGATGTATAGAATTGGTGCCAGGCAGAGCACAAGCTGTGATTAAGGTCAGCTCGGGGAAAAAAAAAAACTGATTTTTATCTTGTTGTCCCTAGTTGTATTAAGCATGATTTATTTAATAGACATAATCCTTTTTTTCCACTAATCTTACAAATATAAATTATAAAATTTATATGACAAATATCAGGGGCATCTTGCAAGCACCTGATATTTGGTTTGGGGGTCCCAGAAAAAAAGAGAATGACGCAATTTTCTGTGTTTTGGCTTTAAATTTGGGGTGACACTTCATATTAATGTAAATAATGTCTATTTTGAGATTGTCTTTGATTGTAAATTTGTGCTGTTATGGTTGAAAACGACACTCACTTATTCACTCACTTCTACATTAGCTCACCCTGCTGGCACTTTTCTTAAAAAAGAGCTAGATCTTGTCTGCTTAACCCAAAAAGGAGCATAAATTCACATAAAAAGACTACATCCACCATCCAAATTACCTTAGAGAACATAAACAATAAAGCCATAGATGAAAGGAACCTGCCAGCATGGTTATCAGCTGTATTTTCAAACACAATACATACGAAGCAGCATGAGTAAAAATGAGACTGCTCACAGCCATAAGATTCACACAGCTCTCCTTTACCGATATTAAACAGGATGCTATGCTATCAGAGGTCATGGCTAACCAGAAGGCTGAACTATCGGACTGAGGGGTGGCTACTAACTTCAGCTGGTACTGGCCAGCTATATATGGTATATATATACCATAGCTATCATAACTATCTTGCAAAGCAAACTATGCCTATATTTGTCAAATGCACTTGTGTATAATAACTGCATTTCATTTTCACGCATTTCAAAAAAGTACTGATGCTCTACTAACCACTTCAGCAACACACTGTTCATCAGCCGTTCAGCACTAACACTGATTGCTGTGTGCGTCTGTACCTGCTGCTGTGAACCAATTTCATGCTGCAACTTTTGGAAGAAACCAATAACACAGCGACAGGGGGCTGTGTGACTTCTTGAGTTATGATCTATGATATAATAAGAGGAATATATTTGACTTTAAGTAATTGGTGGCACCACAATGTGTATGTGGGGTCGGTGTTAAACAGTTGACAAAAGTGTCCACAAACATGCAACTACGTTATTGAACTTTTAAAAAAACTTTTTCAACTTTTATATAACACTGTTTCCACAACTCCAGTCCTAGAGGGCCAGTGTCCAGCACAGTTTGGTAGTTTCCCTACTCAAACACACCCACTAAACCTGCCAATTAACTGTTAAATGACCAAACTGTGCTGGATGCAGGTTCAGTTCCTCATGTTTCTACAGAGCCCCGGTGGGGACATCCTGTATAAATAAAAATAATGCATGGCCACAACTTAGTAAGGCATAGGAACAAGATAATTCAGTCATGGCCACAACCTAATAAGGCATGGGAATGAGATCCTAATTCGTGGCCATGCCTTATTAAGTCATGGTCACGACTTAATTTATAACTTATCTCATTCCCATGCCTTACTAATTCGTGGTTCTCGTTTCCACATGTTAATAAGGCGTGACCATGCATTATTATATGGGATGTCACCAGCAGGGCTCCATAGTTTCTCCTCAGTGCGCATGTCAAAATTATGACGTTTATATTTTATTGCGCCGTGCAACAAAACATTAAAATGTTTCAACTCTATTTACAGACCTTAGTAAGAGTGATGAGACTGTGGGTTACACTAATCACTGGAGTCTGAAAAACAAAATGTCTCTATTTGTACGGTTATTAGAACTGGCGCATTAAATACGGAGCGAAAGCTAGTGTTCGAGCATTAAAACCCCTGCTAACAACACACTTCATATTTTAAAACATGTGTTTAATTGCAAACAATTTTACAAAGTGAAAATTTGCTGATTCTGAGGAATAGAACAAAATAACGGTACAAACATGTACGAATTAAGCCCGTTTAAGAGCCGCAGAACAGCGTCAACTAAAGACATCATGATTTCGTCATGTGCACTGAGGGGAAACAAGGGGGACTGAATTCACCGTATCACCGGCCCTCCACGACCGAAGTTGTGTTAGAGCCAGTTTATCAGTGTGTCCCAGTTCGGGGTCTAGACCGCGTCCTTCGAAGGCTGCTTAGACCCGCGAAGTCTGAACCGAAATGAGACGGTGGATTTTCTGCTTGCGTCACAGCACCGCTGTTCCCGCCCTTACTGTTGTACCACGAAACACCGCTCTTGTCAAGTTATTCTAAAGGTCTTTACAGATTAAGTCAGAAACTTTGATTTTAGTTGTTTATTTTTTTCATTTATTAGAGCTGGAGATGCTTCCCCGCCGGCTCTGATGATTTATTTATTTATTTATTTTTATTTTTTTTTTTACATTTGTATCGTTAGCCGTTCGCCTCAGTTTAAACCCAATTCTTATATTTAAAAGTGTCTCTTCAGCCGCTGTTCACTTCTCTATTGTTGCCACCATGTTCTCGAATCCTTGCAGGCACGCAATGAACCTCGGGATATGTTGGCTGGCGAAGGATGCACCTGATGGATCCTTCTTTGCCATAGAAAAGGACACATTTCTCTTCAAATGCAGCCTCCAAAGGACGCAGCCCCTGAAATGGGACACACTGTATGAGGAGCTTAGCCTCTTTCTATTTCCCCATTAGCTATATCAACAACAGAACTGCAGAAAGCCAGCGCCTGCGGGCGAGTCCCCAATGAATGGGGGTGAAAGGAGCTAAATGGCTAAAAACAAAAAGTTAAAATAGTTTCTAATCACTTGCCCATAACTTTCCTCTACGTTTGTAAAGTATAAGGATGTATTTTACTAAAAAAACTTTTTTTTACTTTAAATTTTCTAAATTTACCTGTATGTTTCATTTTTTCTACAGCAAACGTGTTTTGGGTAGCAGGACGCTAACATTAGTGCTACCGAGTGCTGATTGGCTGGCTAGCAGAGCAGCTCACTGGCCGTTCGCACTCACTGATGTCATGAACGTGTGTGAGGCGCAATTTTAAACTTCAAGTTCAAAAGTGTTTAAAATGTTTTATGCTGTTCTGTTCAATTAACGTATTCTTTTACATTAAAATGATGAAAACTATGATTTTGCTCAAATGCTCCATCTTAACCCATTCATTTTGGACTCTCTCAGGAGCGCCCTCTAATTTAATGTTTGTACACCCTGCACTAGACTTTTCAGTCCTCCTGATGTGCTCAGGTGTGCTTCTGGATCAATAGCACCTTTATTTTACTGACACGTACGTGCCAGCTTTTCAGGTCATGGACTCTGCTTCCCACGGATCCCGACCGAGACGAAAACACGGGCATGTTTTCTGTAATTCATCTATGAATTTACATTTGCGTTTGGACATGTTTCAGCTGCTGTCGACGAGCTTGGCTGCTGTTTGTGGTGCTGGGATGGCTGAGATGCAGTTTGACCAATGAGTGCGTGAAGGGCGTGAACGTGACCGACCAACGATGGCATGAGAGAAGGCGGGACCTGAAGAGAAGAAAGGTCAGCGCGGTGCATAAACGCGCACAATGAACGGGAGACTGTGGAAAGCAAAAACTGAATACCGGACATTTTTGGCCATTTAGAAGTCCCGCACGTACGCATTTTTTAGGTCCGGGAAAAAGAGGAGGTATGGTCACCCTATGCTTTTGACATTTAGCATCTTTGACAAACGTCAAATTCAGTCACAATTAAGGCAGCACTGAGTAAAAAAGCACAAAATAACTTTGTCAGGCTTTTGACTTTTTCAGTGTTTCAAAATCGCTAGATAATTAACAGTTAGCTATTAGCTCTCTCTCTGTCACAGTACAACAGTTTCACTGCGAGTCTGGTTAGCTACAGGGCGAAAGGAAAGGGGGCGGAAGGGCAAGTCAACTAAACCACTTCGCCGGTTCCATGTAATGAGTAAAGCTATTACATGGAATAATACTATTATGGTTTTCTCCTTACAAAGCAACAGTTAAGCTCAATTCAGTAAAAAATCAGGCAACACCACACATGCATAATTAGAAAATAACTTGCTGTACCATGCAAGTGCGGTTTTAGGAATTGTTTAAGTTACTCGGTAAAACTTACTGCGGTCAGCAGTTCTCTGTAGAGTTAGTAATTAGTTGGACTGAGCAATACTGTGCATTCAGTGAAATGCCTAGTAAAGTTTAAATGGAAAAAGAATATACCTCGTCCAACTGCTGAATTAGGGGTACATTTAATATCCTCTGGAAGAATTGATTCATCTCTACAACTACATGGAAGAATGAATGTTCTCAGTAAACAGCTG